GACGATATCACTTGCAGGATTATGGGTCAATGCACTGGTTTCGTAAATCATGAACAGTCCAGGATACATCGGGACATTCCAATGTGACTTGCTGTGATAATCGAGGCAATCAGCCAAGTCCCTGGCGGAGACGTTCTGCGGACAAGATCGGGGCTCCGAACGTCGATGTCAGCCCAAGGCGGCCCGATACATCAAAAAGGACGCCAAGCGGTGCACAAGGAGTTGTGCCAAGCTGACAGGGGACGACAAGATCTTAAAGATGTGCCTGCTGTCTCAGGAATGCATCGTTTACAGTTGCATAACTGAAGACCAATAACTAAGCATCTGGTTGACGCCCCAGAAAGAGACCGGCGTGAACAGATTCTTCCTCCGTCTCTTAAAGACCGTCGGCCAACGGCCGTTTCGGAGTGCTTGCTTCGGAACGCAAAGAGTAATCTGTGGCGTTTTTTGACTGGACACGCGTACTAACTTAGATAACAAAGGGTTTTTACTCCGAGGGGCCCTTCGGTTCCGCGCCAACAATTTTAACCAATAATCAAAAACAAAAAAGATGTATGTTAAGAAAAGCAATTGCTCTTGGTGGATCGCGACACGGGACAGGGTGGTTTAGGTCACAGGGCGACCCGGAGCGCGTACTAAACTGGAGATGGAATCACCAGGGTCTTTTATTACCTCTCGTTAGGGGGCTTCGTTCGCCCCACATTTTAACCTATAATGAAACCAAAGATTCTCCTACCTCAGTTAAGAAAAGCAATTCGTGACACTGGGACAGACCATTACGGTGCTATAAGGCCACAACCAAGTGCCCTCCCAGCGATAGTACACTGGCCTTGTAAGCTTTAAGGTGAAAGGTTCAAATTTCAGCCCTTTGACCCACCTTTTTGCTGTGAGGAGAAAGAGTGCTCACTGTGTTTGGCGTGGGTTTTCCCCCAGAAGCTTTCGGTTTCCTCACCACATTTTAAAAAACAAATCAATTGATGAAAAATAAATAAATAAATAAATAAATAATAAATAAATAATCTAAATGAAAAACAATCTGTCCTGGAATTAAGGAGTCGGTCACTATGAACTAACTGGAAACAGTAAATGTTTTTTCATACTTCACATGTACTACTCTGAGCCCAGGTTGATCAGAATCCAGCTTTGAGCTTTGTCAGAAGACTTCCTTCCAGACCGTTGCTGATTGTTGTAATAAATGTTCCGTGACGGGCTTTGTTGAACGCCATGTTCCGGTGGCGTTGAATTTGATCCTTGTACCACCAGGACCAAAAAGGACCGTTCCCCTTGTACTTTTGTTAGATCTTCACCAAACTTCCACACGTCTGATGAGGTCACTCTGAAACACATCTAACATGCCAATATTCGTCATCAACTCAATAGCGGCCACCCACTGGTAACAAAGGAAGCCAAGAATATGGCAGTAATTTCCTTGATTATTCGCTGGGTGGATGTATGCGTGAAATAACGCTTGGAGCCACAGCGA